ATCAAACTGATTGTGGTTTTAGTATAGGTACATGAATGTCTTACAACACACGAGAAACGAGCGAAATCCGTGTCTCAAGCAAAATCGACCGGACCGCTCTTACAGAGACACTCTCTTAACTGTTGTTAACGTATAACCGATATGTACTTTCTTCCTCAAACTTTGTCATAGTTTTGATTGATTGGTGACAGGACTTCGTGTCGTCTAATTCCGTTTGAAATCATACTCGTGATTAACAAATCGGATTCCCGCCTCGCGGTCTTCCGATTTTGTTAATCACTCGCACGATTATAGACCGATCGGCCTCTACTCTTTCCTATCACCATTGTTAATAGAAAATGCGACTCCCATATCCCCCCGAAAACCCACCTGATTCGGGACACTGACCTTTCTGAGTAGCTCTGAGAAGTCTCTGTGTGGACAAATTCAAAACACCCACTGAAGATATCTAATTGTCCTTAATCTTTTTACACGTCCGTGAGAAAACAAGACGGCACATTTTACAAAACAGCCTCGCTCAAATCGATCTTAGCAGCCACTGATCTCTTTCTTCGCTCGCCTCCTTTATGTAAACAGTTTAATATATACGTGGAAACGTTTCAGTTTTGGCTACTTCAGACTGAATGTCGACTTCCACTCACCAGCATGAAGTTGTTCATCGTGTTATGTTTATTTTTGGAATGGAATTTGCCTTTTTCTTTCGGTCGTTGTCAAACCAAACAAAAGCTGGCTCGTAGTAAGGGCTAATCCTCAGTTGTGTTTGCGTTTTTACGTAAACAATGATTCTATTCAGACCTTGGCTTCTCGACTGAATTATCACGTCCTCTATAATTCACAGAAGCAAATGTATCTACCTTATAAACTAGACCATTCAAAGCACTACTCAGGGTTATTCCCAATAATTCGCATCTGTACATAAGCGTTTGAGATAATAGTTTCTCCATCAAAGCGCTGAAACCAAGAGCCAGCGCACAGCCATAGAGAAACATTTTCTGCCGTGGCTCAGTAGACATCAGCGATGAAATTAGATATCCAAGGAGCAGAGGTTGAGGAATACGGAGGAATGAGCGAAAAATACCCATTCAAATAAGGATCATTACTTCCCTAAAAGAGATTGTTCTTATGACGCTTTTCCAAAGCTTTGGTTGTTCTCGCGGAGTTTCATGGCATTTTCTCTCTTCCTTCCTCCGGTTCTCCTGAAGATTTTCGGTTACGAATGAAGAACGATTTTCTTTTGAAAGAGGTAAAAAATCACTTTGCTCCAACGCTCGATGTTTGCCTGTCTTGAAGACACTGCTCATCCATTGGAAGAGAACATAAGAAAGAAAGCCAACTTTTTGCAGAGCCTTTTCGTCCTCTTGTGGGATCTTGTCATACCCGTGCCTTGCCACCTCCTGTTCAAAAAAGCTAACACTGCACTCCAACTAGGAAGGACAACATGAATTAAGCCAGAACACAGACCGTCAACTGTAAGTTCCTTGAATCACAAATACAAAGGTGAAAAAGGGTTTTGTGAAAGTTACCACGAGATGATTATACTTGCAGTTAAAGTGCATAATTTTTTAAGCTAGTGCAGATTTTCTGAAGTAAAGAAAATTTGGTTAAAAACCGCAATCTGAGAGATGCTTCTTTGCCACTTCATTGTATGTCGGGTAACATGTACTCTACACTATATATTCTTGACCAGAACACTTAACAATATGGAAGAAAAGAAAGTTTAATAGTCAATAAAAACCGCTCCACAGTTGAACTGATTCCAGAAACTTTTTCAATATAGGTAGGAATTCATTTTTAAGAAATATGTAGAGAAATATATACATGCTGTAGATATGCTAAACAAAATATAAACATTTGACAACGATTTTGCAGAGAATTTTACAAATATATCTGCAGAATTTCCATAAAGATATCTAAGCCAAAAGCGGTAAATTATCATGTCACATTTTACCAAGTTACTAGCAGATCTATGGAAAATTCCATGCACATGTCTGGATCGATTATAACTGAACGTCTCATATTTTGCCATGTTAAAAGAAGATCTATGGAAATTTCAATACACAAGTCTGGATCGATTATAACTGAACATCTTACATTTTACCATGTTAATTGTTAATAGAAGATCTATGGAAATTTCAATACACGTCTGGATCGATTATAACTGAAAATCTCACATGTTGCCATGTTACTGGAACCTATGGGAATTTATATGCACATGTCTGACTAACTGTAGCTGAACATCTTATATTTTACCATGGTGATAGAAGATTTCTGGAAATTTCCATGCACACGTCTGGATTAATTATAACCGAACATCTTACATTTTGCCATGTTACTGGAAGATCTACGCAAATTTCCACGCCCTTGTCTGGATCAAACATGATCAAGCATCTTACATCAAACCATGCACATTACTAGACATTTGTGGATCTATGGAAATTTCTTGATACGTCTGGATTAATCTTGACTTAATGAACATTTTGAGTCCATTTTAAATATGTTTGGACCAAAACGATTGAATACAGGTATGTTACATTTTGTTATCTCAGTAGTTATAAACATGTCCAAAAATTAAAGAAGATGTCTTTCTTAAGACCTTCGGATTCCGCGCTCCGATGCTCTACCACTGGGCCACAGAGACTCCACGGTGAGCGAGTTCTATTACGAAGTTCATATGACATGCATCCTGCATACTGCTAGGATCAGCAATGTCTATAGCGTAATGTTTGTAGATATAAATTAGAGAGATGGTAAGTTTTGAGTTTGGTAAAGAAATAAAGAGAGATTTTTTTCGTCTTGTCACGAGCGTGGGACATATTTCCAGGTAACCGTTTTGATTAGGAATGTTTGATACTGTTTTGTTTACGTGAATGGGCATTAGATGTACATGGAAAATTCCATGGACCTGTTTTGGCCAAGAGTGTTTTAAAAGATTTTTTACGCGTGAATGGGTATTATGCATGGAAATTTCTATGTACCCGTTTAATTTGTTCAATAATGATTGATATTGTTTCGTGTGCGCGAGAGCGGTGAGTATTACATGGAAATTTCCATGGATCTTTCTGGTGTGGCACTATCATATTGAGATCGTAAATACTGCTGACAAGTTTTCTTCTCCAAAAAATTCATCGACTTTTCCATGGCTTAGTTGATCATTTGAGAGATATGTACTGCTGTTGGTACAAGTTATTCTAACATTAGACTGAGTGTCGTTCACCACCGAGAACCAGAAAAGTAGACGCTACCATGCTCGTTTTTTTAATGTTAAGCAGCAGGTTGACAGAAAGCGATAAAAATGTTTTGAAGTAAGCTGAGATAAACATTTTTCGCTTTTACCTTATCAATTATACCACGGCAAAGTTTGACTTTTCCAGATTTCTTAATTTAGAAAATCTGTACTTAAAAATTTACTAGTTGCAAACTTTTTGTCATACTCTTAAATAGAAAACTATTCCATGTAATCGTTGCCGTAATCTCAACTGATCACTGGGAAATATAATTTGAAAAAGCACTTTAAGATTTTTCCCTCTTTTATTATGACATAGAAGTTTTGAGAATCGCGATAAAGATGATTTTTTAACATGCTCTGTAAACTCAAATTGAATAAAATAGTGATGTCTTAGGCTAAAATCACTTCAACCTTTTACAAAAAAATATCAAATCCTTAAAGGATGAAAACCTTTTGTGCTTTTGTCAAATGTCCCTATTTTTCTGGGGATATTGATTTTCTTCCATTTCTCCGCCAAAGGAGCTCATTTGATTTTTCTATCTTAACTGCAGCCAAACAGTAACAAAGAAAGGACGCCAAGTCCATTTCTGTAAACTTCGCTATATTCCTTCCACTTTAAATGTCGCAATATACTACTACATCTTATACAATATACTACTTTTATTTGATGTAAATTTCATGCAGTTAGTTTGCCGTGGTGGCGGATTGACCGTAAACCTGTCACTTTGCCGAGAAAGGAACAAAGCACTGCAGAGGAAGCCTAGAGAACGGATAAGACTGACTAAGGCCGAATCCAGAGGGAACTTATGCCAGCTCGTATGACAGCAGCGCGAGGGTGTTTAAAATCTTGCTTGTTAATTAAGTTACAGTGGGAGCGTTATTTTGGTTCGAGCGACAAAAGCACGAAAAATCTAGTTTTTATAAAGACTAGATTGAAAATATACAGACGAGTAATTATATTTTTAGAATCGAGCGATAAGTGTGAAAGTGCGTGAAGTTTTGAATTGTGAATTAGTTATTGAAGTTTTACTTCAGCTTTTATCTTGGACTGATGTAGCGCGAATGTGCTTGAGTATATCAGAGAGTTTAACCCCTTCCTCCCTCTTCTGTGCCTATACAAATTTGCCCTCCGTCACCTGGTAAGTAAGTAAGTGGTTACCCCTTTACCGAAGCAGATTACTGTGACGAAATACTGTTAAAAGTAAGCCGGCATAAATCACCTGGCTCTTTAGAAGCGGCGAACATAGGCACGTACAATTTATCACAATGAGCTCGCTACTAATGATTATATAACGGTATGCGCATTCGGGATGTAGTCAGTTATTTCTTCGGTCTTTTGAACATGTAACTGTTCGGTTTCTGTTGAAGTAATAAATAGGCTTTTTAACCCAAACTTATCGTTACAATTAAAATTGTCATTTAAGCCATTACCGATGACTGTGTTTGATCTTGGGTATCCAAGCTTCGGGAAGTTCACACAACATAACAGCCGACCAATGAGGACCTAAGAGGGAAACCAATCCAACAACAGGAATAATAATAAGGATCGAAATGCACCAATAGCAGCGAACCAACGTGCTACTATTAGCGACTCGTAAACAATCGATATCATCGCCTGATGAAGACTAGCAGTATTGCAGTTGAAACGTCGCGATCAACATCCAAAGTGACTCTATCGTGAGACAAACTGATAAAGTTTGTCTCCTAAGAAAAATAAAGCTTCGAATTAACGTTTATAAGGAAATATCGAGCAAATGTTTGGCTTTTTGGCAGTTTTTTTAACCATTTTTTTGCTTTCAAGTGAGCAACTTTCCAGCATTTTCTTGACGAGCGCTATCGGGACAGGCCTAATACAACGTCCCCGGAAGAAGTTCACTATTCGATCTTATATCTTTCAGGAAATGGGAGCCACAGATTTTCAAGCTTAATAAATATTGAACAAGGCGTACGAGCTGACGTTTTCCTGAAACTATTGTGGGGGCGGTCTTTTTTGAGAGTGTCGTAATGCATGTGAAAAAAGAACTCGGTCCACGAAAACTAGCAAATTTAAGCTAGCATTGGTTGTTGATTTTTTAGCCTGAAACAGGACTATTTAATTAAATCTGAGTTTTACAGAACGAGTTCAAAACTGATATATCATTTTCCATGTATTTAGCTTCCTCGTAATCAGCTAAAATTACGCCAACGATAAGGGAAAATGGTCTTGCTTCAAGGAAGCTCCAAATTACCTCCCACATCCCGTTCACAAAACCTTTTTTAACCAAAGAGATATTAAAAGCGGTTTGAAAACATACTTAACAACCCCATCCGTGGTGTGAATTTTATAGCATTCGATTTCTACTACTTGCCCAAATTCCAGTGAAGTCTGTCGTTAATAGGTGAATAACCACTGCTTATTGTTTTTTGGCTGTTTGTGGGAGCTTTCACGGACAATTGGTGTACGTTACTTCTCACAAGATATCCTAGTATTAGATAGAACTTGCCTTTCATACCTTTAAGCCTATCTTAGTAAGACCATTACCACGAAAAGAGTCTCCTCTCTACTGAACTAGAACCACCGGCGAAAATCGAGCGCATTTACGGGTAAATGCTGAAAATGATCTATACCCCAAGGTTTGATATTTAATTGCCTTTCTGCGTGTTCATATCATGGCACCATTACATAACTGAATAAGGCCAATAAATAACAAAATGAACGCGATATCCTCTCGTTTCTACCCATGTTGAGAACTTTTTGAAATGTTTTGAACACATTCTCGTCGTCATATGTCAAACGGTGTTGTTATGTTGCAAGAAGCAACTTAGATTAGCTAGTTAGTCAAGTTCACATGTTCAAGTTTCTGGATTCACCTCATG